CTACACTAATTCAAATTCCATAGCGCCAAACCCCAACCAATCCGCCTATCTGTACCAAATAACGTCGCGTCCAAACGCGATTTGAACTCCAACAAATCGCTCACACAAAAATTAGTTGTACCGTCTCAACGTGTATCGTCTCAATGTGTACCGGCTCAATGTGTACCATCTCACCAAGTTGCTAATCACTCTACCGTACGCGTATGATAAGAGGAGGGTGCGTAACTATACAGATTTGTGGTGCAAAATATACAACTTTGGGGAGCAACCATATTGTGGGGGATGGAATATGTAACCCTGGCTAGATTATAATAAGATGGTTCGAAGTATAACGGCCGGCCGGCGGATTTACCCCGGCCTCTTAGCCGGACGGCAAAATTGCGGGGCGGCTGAATTGACTCGGCTTCTTATCCGAGTGACTGGATTGCTAGGACCCCGCAGTGATCGGTTGTACATACACAACTAACTCAAACGCTTATACTGCAAACTCACAGGCTTCTACTTTCTTCTTGTTGCGAGGATGTCTACGTGGATACAGCTCTCTCTTCTTGACAGCGCGGATGACTATGATAGCTACCGTGATCAGCTCATGTGTTGTACCGCCGTGTTTCACAAAGTGGACTTCGATGTCTGCCGCATCTGTGGCGAAAAGCACACGATGATAGAGCGTCGACTGAAGTGCTCAAGCAAAACCTGTATAAGGTTTGGCAAGTGTGGAGTTGTGTGGAAGGTATTCCATTGCAAGGGACAAGATAAGTGGCGTGTACTTGTGAACTCGAACAACCACGTGAGAGGATTGCTCACGTGCAGCGAACAACACACTCCCCTCGTCACTCGCCCTATGTAAGCGTTTATCGCTACCCAAGATGAGGTTGGACTGCCACCCCGGGTTATCGAGGTCCATCTGAAGAAACAGGTCAACATTCGACCGTCGCGGGGAGGGTGACCTACGCTTTCTCAGGTTCAGAACGCCCTAAAACGTATCCGAAAAGAACAAGGGCCCAAGAACTCTATCCAAGCAATTCACAGACTGGCCCAATCGCGCTGCTACAAACCCGAGAGCCCACCAGAAACGGCATTTGTGTTTAGTGCAAAACTGGACGTCGATGGCATGACTTATGTTGGCTCGGGAGATGACGATGACCCGTTTATTGTCGGCGTGACTTCACTAGCAATACTCGACAGTTGTATTCGCTTCAGTACGGGTGACGCTCGTGTCCTGTTCCATGCTGACGCAACCTTTAAGCTGAGTGATATTGGGTACCCCGTGATAACCTGCGGGTTCACCGACCAAGCCAGGAGATACCAAGTCGGAGCTTTCTTCGTGGTGAGTCGCCGCACCGAGCATGAGTACACGGAGTGCTTCAGGGCTTTTGTGGAGTTAGTGCGCAGTCTTCGAGGGATTTCTATTCGCTGTGACTTTACAATGAGCGATGCGGAGGATGCTCAATTTCTCGCACTACAAAATGTACCAACCTTCCAGCACGCCACGAAGTTGATGTGTTTTTTTCATGTCCTGTACAATGTACGGAAACGTACACAGCACCTGCTGTAATGGGCATACCTTGGCTCACTACTACGGCTTACACGTATGCGCACGTGTATGAGGAAGCGTAGGTTTCTTTTACTTGAGTTAAGTATACTCGAGATCCACGAGTATACTTTAAACAAGATAAAGACTCCAAGTAGCGTGTTTTGGTAAAAGATGAGAACTGCTATTTTGTTTTATGTTTCTGTCTTCCTCTAAATGTAATATTATAAACTAGGAATCTGCCAACGGCTGGTTGGCAGGATTCTGCTAACATGCAAGTCACTCATTGGCTAAAAGATGCTGCTTTCAGCCAATAGGAATCCTAAATGTGTATGGACCACCCGTCGTGGTCGTCGTAAATGTATGTAGCCATTGGTGTACCTTACACCAAGGTCGAGGAAGTGTTCAAACCTCTAACAGACATCGCATCTGTTAGAGTAACAAGTGACTGTAGCCACTTGTGCGTGTAACCCCGTTCCACCATCCCCCCGTCAAGGTTAGACGTGCCGGTCTCGGCACGTCAACCACCATTAACCACTTAGTCAATGCGTGACGTTGAAGAGAGCGCGCTCGTAATGGAACGAGCGCGTCGAAGCTGAAGACCGCTGGCGCAGCAGCGGAGAACCTCTCTGCTGCTGAGTAGCATGCGCGGCAACGTGCGAAGCGCGTCGCTGCCACGGGGGCAGGTACCTATGCCTGCCCTGGAAGTGTCTTCGGGCGCTGCTGTTAACAACAGCGCTCGCATTACGTTCCAGGGTGCAGCGCATGGTGGACTTCGTACGCCATCACCATGTCCGGGACGTCTTCGAGCAAGACGTTCCGCGGCTCCCATGTATCTTGGTTGGGAGGGAATCCTCTCCAACGGATACGAAAACGAACTGGTTGCCTATTCGTTCTCGGGATACTGTGATCAACAATCCGCTCAACAATCCATCGAGTTGAGCCGTGTGCATCACGAATCGGCGGCGGTGGTGGTGGAAACACGCCCCGTGTGTGGTCAACTTGGTGTTGACCCTGATCTCGCGTCTCCCCACGACCGAGTTCCGGTCGTGGAGTAGTTTCAGAGCGCTGGGATCGGCGCTCTGAAGTATCCTCAGGTTGCGGCGGCCTCCCAGACCGCCTCGATCGTTCCGGCCGAGCTGGACCATTAGCCCGACCCGCTGCTCCAGCGCGAAGTCGCGCTGGAGAGGACGATGGCTTCCGCCGAGTCTTCTGCTTCGGTTCAGCCGAGCTAGGTGGCTCGTGCTGCAGGTATGGCTTCAGCCGTCCGACGTAGAACGTCGGATGGAGGCGCATACTAGACGGTATATCCAGTGTGTAGGCGTTGCCGTGCCGTGCTGTGAGATCGGGAAATGACTGCGGCCGGGCGAGTTCCGGCCGAGGTCTAACTGCCTTGAGCTTGCGAGAGATGGCTGACCGAGGGCTCTGATTGGTCGGTCACATTCCCCGCGCGTTAGTGCCCAGAAGATTGATAGAGACTACGGAGTGACAGGAGGGTCTCGGCGGGTCAAAATAAACCGCCTGCCGAGGCCTCCGAAGTTTCATTGTGGGTACACTTTATGCCCATTAGGAGTTCGGATTTAGGACGAAGTTTCGTCCGGTTGTAGGATCAGCTCGAAAGCTCGGTCCACACTTGATATTTGTATAGACCTTAGGGATTAGCTATAGGAGAGGCCTGACAGCCTCTAAACCATTAAACAGAGCAGAATTTCCCCCCCGGACCCCGGGGACTGTTCACTGTCACCCCAGTCTGAACGGTCTTCCGTTACGTCAGAGGGTTCGGCTGGAACTTGGCTCGCTATCACCCCTAGGTCCGAGGCGTCGTCATCGGTGCTAACATCCGAAGCTCCTTCACTCTCAGACTCGATTCAACCTTCGGTACTAGTGTCATCGGCTTCCACGTGCACGGGAGGGAGCGCCACCGGATCATCACCCACTGGTGAGCCGTCGGTGGCGAGTTGCTCCTGCTCCTCACGCTTAGCGATTTCACGTTCCCACTACTCGGCACAACTCAGCTGGCGGCCGTGCGTCTGGGAGGCTTCGGGTGGCCGGGATAACACTCCGGCCGGCACTGCATATTCCGGTCGCTCCACAGCCGAAGGCTGAGAGGCCAGCCAATCCGCATATGCATCACACTCACGCTTGAACACCGTTTCATCCCGACTTCCGTCATACGCCAACTTCTGCCAGTCCTCGTATCGTTCCGAACTGAGTCGAACATAACCTTCAGACTTCGGGAGATCTCCGATCGGTACCCACATTAGCATAGGTGAGTGAGCACGGCAAACCGTAAAACGTTTCGACACGTTCGTCAACCGCACTCTCTCGACCTTGCCTCGCCGAAACTTCGTTACCGTAGGCAACAGAGACTTCGTGCGACGTACCCACACCTCGTGTGTATCCAGAGGTGGTTGACGCCTCGGTACTCTGTACTCTGCGAACTCTCGGCTCTCAATGATTAGGTCCTCGGACGGACCACCGTTGACGTGCAGGCCTTCTTCACCTTGGTCATTCAGCATGTTCAGCGTCTTAATGAGTGGAATACTCACCTCGTCCGGCAACCTCGCGGTCGCGTGGAACAAGTCCAAGCGCACTCCTGCAGGAATCATGGAGTCGGTGCCGAGGACTACATCCACGCCAGCACCATGATCCATAATCCACAATTCGAATTCGTACACTCTGCTCCAGCCGAGGGTTACTTTCACGAGAGTTCGTCTCTCGGTTGTCACGGTTCCTTTCGTAAAACCCTTAACCTCCATACAGCGGCCGTGACCTTGGATATCACGCAACCGCAACTGCTTCGCGAACCGTTCGGAGACCACACTAACATTCGCGCCAGTGTCCAATAGAATCCTCGTTCGCGTGTCATTTACCGCGCCCTTGACCAGAGCTCTCATCCGAGCTCTCTTGTCGAACTTCTGCGCGGACCACCACCCCAGCCTCTCGCCTGGGAGTAACTTCGTCACCCCACTGGGCGTTCGGCCAGGGTGTCCTTCTTGCACCGCACTTGAGACCCAAGCCTCGGTGCCATCTTCATCATCTTCATCATCATTCATTTCACTTGTTACTCCTCCACCGAGGGTTGCCCCTCTCTCCTTTTCATTTTCCGTCGTTTTCACACATTCCTTGTCCTTGTCGTTCGGCCGTTTACTTTCGCCCACGAATGCGTAGACACAGTCTGCATCAATCGCGGGCTCAGCTAACTGTGGCAGCCCGATTGGGACCAACCCAGTTTCAGTTGGCGGGCTGCCTAGTTTAAATTGCCACCGAAGACTAGGCTTTGGAGCACTGGCGAGAGGTCCTTCTTCTCGGCCTTCGTTTTGATGAACGAAGTGAGGGCTTGACGTGCTTCGCGCTTGCCGATGTCATGCACCTGCTGGCACAGTCGGCAGCGGCGGTAGGAGTAGTGAGCCGAATGCCCGGCTCCACCACAAGCTGCGCACGGTTCGTACTGACGCGGACGACCATCACGGTTGTCTCGGCCGGGTTCACCACCCTTGCGTTGACGTTGGTCAGGGCGCGCGTACGTTCCTTCAGCTGCTTGGCGTCGCTCGCGCTCATTGGCAGCAGCGACGTGAGCTCCTTCCTCACCAGAGCTGCTAATGTCACTGTAGCCACCATCACTCGGATCGCTCTCGGAGTAATGATAATCACTGGCGTCACTCTCGCTGTCGCTGTACGGGGTACGGCGTGGCGACGAGCGCTCGGCTCTACCACCCTTGGTACCGCGGACTTGCAGTTCAGCGACCAAGTCTGACAGCGAAGCTTCAGCTAGCGAAATGCGCGGAACATGGCGCGAGTCATCACGGCGGCGAGAGTCTTCGCGGCGACGTTCGTAACCACGGTCGCGGTCGCGACGGTAACTGTCACGCGAAGCTTCGTGGCGACGGTCATCACGACGACGCGGTTGGTCTCGACTACGCGAGTGGTGAGACGAGGTCTCGCGCGACTACCCACGCTCTTCAGACTTCAAGATGTCGTTGATCATGTCCTCGAGTTCGTGAATGCCCTTCACCCGGACGTGGCAAAGCCGGCGTTCGAGGCCTCGGTCACCGCACGTCTCGAGGAACCGCTGTACATGGTCCTTCGCATCGCGACCACCACTCTCGAACTGAAGGCCAGCATTACGAGCGTAACCATTCAGTCGGTTGAGGTAGTCACAAAGGTGTTCCGAGGACTCGCGCTTTGCAGAGTAGTAGCGAGCCTTCGCGGACTGGCTGAACTGCAAGCAGTAATACTTGATAAACGCATCGCTCAGTCGCTTCCACTGACGCTTCGTCCTCTTCGGGAGTTGACGGTACCAGTGAAGGGCACCGTCCCGAAGGCTCAGCTCGAAAGCCATGCACCACTCGTTAGGCGGAGTGTGCGTTCCCTTCATCTCATAGACGAAATCTCGGAGCCACTGCATAGAGTTTTCACTCCGATTGCGGGCTCCTGAGAAATTCTTGATCTGCGCAAGCGGTCGGTGTGTGGTGATCTCGAGCCGAGGAGCCGAACTCAGTCGCTCCATCTCGCTCACTTCACGCACTTGACGGGGCAACTCATCGCTCGGGCTGTCAAACCCATCTTCATAGTCGATGTTGTCATTGTCGTCCTCGTCGGACGAGGAGTCATCGCGCGGTGTAAACCGGCGGCTTGAGCGTCGCGTGGAGCTTCGTTGCGTGCTCCGCTCGCGTCGCGAACCTTCGGACTCACGCGCAATACGGTCGGATCGACTCGCCGACCTAGGAGTCACCATGTGCAAGTCTTGGAAGTACGACGAACCTTCGGTCTTGGCGGAGAACACTCCGTCCGTCGCTTGGCTTTGGTTTGACCGCTCGGCGGACTTGTTGGGTGTCTGCGGCAGTGGGATCTTCGAAGGATCAGCTTGCTCCCTCGCGGGGCGAGCACTCGGGGGGCGTCCCAGAGTCAGGTCCAACTCCCCGAAGCTCAGGCGAAGCTTCCTCTTCCCCTTATGTAGCTCCTTGCCGGCGAGACCCGGCGTCCAACTCTTGATCGAGACTTCGGACGGACGAGTCCTTGGCTCGTAGCCCATCGCTCGTAGGAGAGACACCGTGTCCTCGGCCACCTGAGTAACCGAGGTCGACTCAACGGGGTGTTGCAACTCCTCCTTCAGCTCAGCCCAAGTCGCTTGACGCGTCATCTCGGGATTGAACTGCCATATCCACTCGCTCGACTCCACCATCTGCTCGAGCATTCTGCCGAGCACCTTGTTCGCAGCTGGAGTGCTACTTTTCAGAGCGGGCCGACTTCCGCGGGATTCTTGAGGACCCTTAGTAACCTGCACCAGAGCCCTCGAAGCCGAGGTCTCGGTGCCATTCTCAAAGTCGTCATCCGCATGGTCGGGTTTCGCCACTTCATCAAATTCTGCGACGAGGTTCCGGGACAAGGAGCGCGAGCCTCCGCTACGTCCCACGGACAGCATCGCATCTTCTTCATCTCCGAACTCCTGCGTCGTCGCTGGAGTCTTCTCCTCCAGGTCATCATAGTCCATCATCATGTCATCCTTGGCGTCCGAATCTTCGTCGACCGACTCTTCGAAACTGACCGACCTTTCGGAGATCGTCGACAACCGAGACGTTAAGTCACTCGCGATCGTTGACGAACCTTCGGCGATCCTCGTCCCGACTTCACCGGCGTAGCTGGTACCGCTGACTTGGATCCTTTCGCCATCTTGTTCTTGTTCTTGTTTCTTCTTCTCTTCTTCACTTCTTCTTCTCTCCTCAATGCTCGTTGGGCAAAACCTACACAGACCACAACACACAATCGGTCACACCAGTCCTGGGTCGCGGCACCAGTTGTCGTGTAGGAAAACACGAGTTTACGAGTCCTCGCCCAATCAACCGAAGTCTCTAGGACGAGCCCTATCAACAACACACGCCGTCTCCGAAGAGTCGGCGATAGATTGTCGGGATAATAAACCTGAAGACCAGGTCCGATCCCTTATACGGGCTGGAATGTGCCTCCCTGTGTGTTGCGGGTCAGGTAGGTTTACCCTTCGTTAAAATATAAGAGCACCATTAGCCACGAGCCACGGCTATGACGCAATGTGTAATACGTGCTTTCGCACTAAACCTCTGTGGTCCCTCAGAAAGGAAGGGTACCAGGCCAATCGAAGCCTCGGCTAGAAGTCAAATACATCCTTGCCTCACACCCAGTCAAACGTACAACTGTACACAGAGGTCTCTAATACCTCCCAACACTCGGCCACCTACTCACTCTTGGCCTTACCAGGATGAACACTCTGTCAATGCACCTTATGCTCACCGGCAGACATACCCCGTGCAGCCGAGTGTATCCAGACCCTACGCTAAGCTTAGCGACTTACCGTAGACGGACTTGACCCTTGTGTGGCTTGGACTGCAGTGGGGTTGCGCGAAAGCGCTACTTAGTATCCTAGCCTTAGCTCGTGTCTAGTGGTACATGTTTTTGGGGTTGACCGAAGACAACCTAAGGTGCACAGAGGCGCTTGCAACCGACCCGGTGTAAGGGATCGTTCCTGGTCTTCAGGTTTTGATCCATTTAGCGCTTACCTTTGCAGTTTGCGTGTTGTTGGTGTCTCTAATACCTTTTGGTAGAGGAGGATTTTAGTGGAATTACCACACCACAACTGGTGCCGCGACCCGGGATTGGTGTGACCTTCTGTGTGTATTGGTTGTTGTAGGTCTTTACCCCCAACGAGCGAAGAGGAGGAGGAGAAGAAGAAGAGAGAAGATGGCGAAGGGAGTCAAGTCAAGCCAGCGGTACCAGCGACGCCGGTCAAGTCGAGCGGAACGCACAACGAGGCTTCGGTGCGCTCCGGAAGCTCGTTCTCGACCCCAGCGACGGATCGGATGGAGTCGATCGGCGAGCGTTCGGCGAGCTACGAGACGGCGATTGATTCCTCGGACGCCAGAGAAGACGATGAAGATGATGACTGGGATGTCAGGACTGTGATGTCCGAGACTTCGGAAGCTGCGGTTGTGTCGGCAGGCCGCAGTGGAGGATCGAGGTCGATCACCCGCGACCTCTCCGAAACGTTCAACGACATGCCGGGCCCCGAGCCCGCCTGCGACGCGGATGGCGGTGCGACCGAGGGTTTCAAAGCCTCGGTGACGGTAAGAGGGGCAACTTCCAAGCCGGTTGGCACTCGTCCTCCCCTCAACGGCGATACTCCGGCGGCCAACAAGGTTCTAGGCCGATGCCTGGAGCTGATGAAGACCAAAAGTGAGTGGATGCAGTTGTTCTCCCCGAAGCAGGTCCGTCAGGCCATCTGGATGGACCTCGGAGGGGCTTTGGCAACGCCGATCAACTCAACGAGCATTCGGCAGGCCGCTCAGAACACTGTGGACCTCCTGCGTGCAATGGGGTGCGAGCCCCAGATTCTCCCGACGGAGCCTGCACTCGCGAGCTGGACGCCAACCACCGCCGCCATGGCGCTTACCAAGTGGAGGAAGAAGTTACGTGAGGCCTTTGGGGTGGCAGACCGAGGCTCAACGAAGCTTCGTTCGACCCCGGGAGCGGTTGACCCCTCCAAGGTCCCGCTACCAGCGACCCCTCGGAAGGCAGCCACGGATGACGGATTCTTCGCAGTCAAGGGCGAGCGAGGCTTCGCCTTACATGCAAGACTCGCACATGGTAACCCCACGATCTACGGACCGTACTGAACGTCTGGCTAGGGAGGCCGAGGTTTCGTACGCAACGCCTGGCACGCGCGGGGCAACCGGTCGCCGGTCCAGCCGCCGTTATGACCTCCGAGATGGCTCGTCGGACAGTGACGATGATCTCGGGTCCGACTGTTACGAGGGCGACCTGCCAAACGAATGGGCTCGTCAGGTGCGCGAACGGAGCGCGACTGACAATCATAGCTCAACCCCGAAGCTCGAGATTACCACGTACCTACCTCTCTGCAACATCAAGTCGTTCTACGGTTTGCGCGACAAGAGCGAACACTCCATGCAGTGGCTTCGTACGTTCGTCTACGAGATGAGGGGGACACATGCACCGCCCAACGAGTGGTGCATGCCGTTCGAACTCAAGCTCAGAGATGGGGCTTTGTATTGGTGCCGCCAGCTTCCACGCAAGACGAGACGCACGTGGAAACAGCTGTGCGAGGCATTCATTAAGTACTACTGCTCGAAGTTCTCCCAGTCTGCAAAGGCTTGGTACTACTCGGCCAAACGAGAGAACAAAGAGCATGTATGTGACTACCTCAACCGGCTCAACGGCTACGCTCACAACGCCGGGGTTCAGTTTGAGCACGGGGATCGTGACGCGAAGGACCACGTCGAACACTTCTTAGTTACGTGTGATGACCGAAACTTAGAAGACCGTCTGTGGCACGTTCGGGTCAAGAGCATTCATGTCCTCGAAGACATGATCAACGACATTCTGCGTCACCGCGACCAAAAGTCGACTCGCGAATCATCGTTCCACCGCTCCCGCAGTCAAGATGACAGACGCCGTCGCGACGCGCGGTCGAACGAGGATTCTCGAAGTGGTTACCGCCGTGAACGACGTTACCGCGACGAGGACCGCCGCGAACGACGTTACCGTGACGATGACCGCCGCACCGATCTTCGTGACGAGGACCGCCGCCGTGACCGACGTGACGAGTCACCGCACCGGTCGAGGGTGACTTTGGTCGATGCCCTTGCCGATGTAATGGCGGAATGGAACGTCGGAGGCTCGGTCGGTGCACGCAACGAGACTCTATACGCCCCCCGACGTGATGCTGAGGCGAACGAGGATTACTTCGAGGATGAGCGCCAATACTCGGACGACCAACGCTTGGACGAGGATTCAGACGCTGATCTCGACTCGGATGGGTCTACCCGACTTGTCGCTGCCTCTAACAATGCTGAGCGCAGGGCCGCAGCCGAAGGAATGTTCGCTCGGTCTGATAACCGACGCTTCAGGAACGGAGGAGGCCCGTCCAACCGTGAACGAGATGGTCGACGCCAGTATGGACCGTGTGCCGCGTGCGGAAGCCCGTCCCACTCGGTGCACTTCTGCTACCGGCGGTGCAAACTGTGCAAACAAGTGCACGACGCTGGGAAGTGTGAAGCACTCCATGAGCTCACCAAGCTCCTGAAGTCCAAGGCCGACAAGAAGGATCTGTCGCCAGAGTTGCAAAGCCTTGTGTATGGAAGCCATTTAAACTAGGCAGCCCGTCAACTGAAACTGGGTTGGTCCCAATCGGGCTGCCACAGTTAGCTGAGCCTGCTGTGGATGCGGACTATCTGTTCGCGTTCACGGGCGAAAGCAAACGGTCTGATGACCTGAAGAACAATGAACGTGTGAAACCGACGGAAAATAGAGAGAACCGAGACGCAAGTCTCGTTGAGATTGGTATTGATGAAGATGATGATGATGAACGTGATGGACACCCGACCGAGGCTTTGATCACAAGTCTGGGGACCACCTCGGAGCCTCGTTCGGGCGGTGAAATTACTGCCCGGTGAGAGACTGGGGTGGTGGTCGTCCCAACGATACGACTAGAGGAAGCGAATGAGAGCTTTGGTCAATGGCGCTGTGGACGACGCGCGAATGAGGATACTCCTTGACACTGGAGCGAATGTTACCGTGATTTCTGCCAGCTTCGCCAAGCGGCTACATGTGCGAGAAGTCCGAGACCACGGACGAAGTCTCGAAGTCCGCGGCATCAACCCAGGGGTGATGAAGACCCGGCGACGGACGCTCGTCAAGATCACCCTCGGGTGGGAGCAGGTCTACGAATTTGAAATGTGGATAATGGATCACAGTGCCGGAGTGGATGTGGTCCTTGGGATGGACTTCATGATCCCGGCTGGAATCCGGCTGGATCTATTTCATGGCACCGCACGCCTTCCGGACGAGGTCATGATACCACTGCTAAAGTCGCAGAGTGTTGAAGATGACGAACCTTACGGCACGCAGCCTTCGTGTGGGCCGACCGAGGATTTATACGTACCCGGTCGCGAGTGGCGACAGTTTCGACTGCCGCGCCAGCGGCTACCTCGTTCGGAGTACGATGTGTGGGTACGACGCACGGGCAAGCTCGTGCCGACCGTAACGAGGTTTCGACGGGGGCAGCCGACGTGGGTACGGCTCACCAATATTACGACCACAGCGGCATAGTGCGCCAAGCATGACTCCGTGGTGCTGTGGGTACCGCATGGTGAACTACCGCGAGAGACCGGCTACGCGAGGTTGGACTCTAACAAGTACAAAGAGTGGCAGGTGTTGGCCTATTCAACGAGTCGTGATGAGACTCTGCAAGGAAGAGAACGTCGTCTCTACGAGCAATGGTTGGCTGAACAGCCGCCTGCGGTCGAGCGCCGAACTTACCCGACGCCGCGAAAGATCCTGCCGAGGCCACCGGATGCACCGCCATGGCCAGAAGGCCGTCAACAAGCTCCGTTGGATGATGAGTACTCGTCACCCGATGTACATGGCTACGACGACGACCCCAGGGTCAGTGGAGGCTCGGTCGATGTCGCTCGAGCTGATACAACCGATGTGGATCGTGTTGGTGGGTCGAACGATGGTTCGGACGACGAGGCCAGCGCGTCGGATGACTCGGACGTACCCGGAGATTCGCCGCCTAGCCGAGCGGGTTGCCTGCCCGTGAATCCGAACAGTGGTGCTGACTCCACCGACCAGGGAGCGACATACGCCTCGGTTGAGGCATCGGGAGCCAGTGATGAGCTGCGTGATGGTGACAGCGTGACGAACGACGGTTCGGAGGATGACCGCGACGTGGCGGCAGTGGCCAAGACAACTACATCGGATGTCCTGCCAACAGGGACCGCTGCGTCCAGCCTGGAGCCAGGAGAAACGCCGGCTGCGGTGTGTAGTAGCGAAGTCGACTGGGGTGTACACGACCCAGGGCCTAACGACGTTCCTACTGAAGCCGGAGCCTCCACCGCTGACGCCGACTCTGAATTCCATGATTCGGATGTAAGTGCGATCGATGACCCCGAGCAGCTACTGGAGGCGACCTATATCTTGGTCATGCATGCCATGGTTGCAGAAGGGTCTGGCGAAGGTGATGACACCGTGAACGATTGTTTCAGGGCATGTCGCAAACAAGATTAATCTCACCGAGAACGCGCTGGAGTATCTACCGACACCTCGACTGAAGCCTACCACTCGTATTTGGCCCTACATGGAACGAGGTAAACCAAGACATGAGTGCTGATTCTCGGTGGCGGGCTGGCCGAGGTTTCGAAGTGGAACGAACTTGAGATTATGAACCTGTTCGCAGCCGAACATCGTTCGTTTTGGTGGTGACATGTACGCGTTGCGAGGGCAGCATGATTTGTTTGCACGTGGCCCAACTCGCGGACGAGGACTAATTGCATACGTTAACGACGATTGACCTGCTCGCGAGGGTAACCCAGCTCGCGACGACAGACGAAAGAAGCTACTGGAGATGATGATTGAACTGCCTGCGAGGGCTATCCAGCTCGCAGTGACAGACGAAGGAAATTACTGGAATTTGCATATTACATGTGATGTGAACGAGTCACGATGGAGTGTCATGTCAGAATGCCTCGGTCGGCACCTCAGATGAAACGAAGAAGGATGAAGCTCAACGGAGGGTGACCGAGGCTTCGGACGCCGATATTAACGTGGAAAAAGTTCGCGCCCGTGCGCCGGACCTCGGCTTGCGACGAAGTATGGATTTGATGATGAAGAGGAGATACGAGTGGATCTGGGACAGCTACGACCGACATGTAAGTCTCGTTCAAGACAGCAGTACCTGCTGTAGCCTGCGCGAAAACTGTGGGAACCCTCAACGAGAATTGGTGCGACACGATTGCAACACGGCGAGTCGTCGGGTGGAGGCTGGGGCACCCAGACTTTACGTTACGACCACCGAGTATTTGCTGTAAGAGCACCACGAACCACGGTCAACACTGGTACGGTTTCTCGCGCCAAATAGGAAGAAGCTGAAGGCACCACCGATGTTTCTGGTGCGGTGGTTCCCGAGCCGCAGACAGAGGCAACTAAGCCCGAATTGGTTACGACCACCGGAAAGTCCGGATGGAACTGTGGAAAGAAGGCAGCGAAGTCACGGTCGACACAGCTACACTATCTCCGAGTGATAACGAAGCAAGTCAAGGTGGGACCGACGTTGGCGGTGCAGCGATTCGTGGTCTTCAGGCTGGGTCAACCATACCTGCTTCCTTTACGACCACCGAAGTTCCGACGTAGGGATGGTGTGAGGCAGGACGAGTCATAGCACGTTCCCTGACTACTGCACTTGACGTTGAACCCTCGGACGACGCAGAACTAGCTACTGCAGATGCCGGTGATGCCGAGAAGTATGCGACCGAGGTGTGTCGAGCGGCGGTCCGATGGAACGTCGGACCATACGACCACCGGAACTCCGATTGTTTTGCATTGCGGCCAGAAGTGTGGCAGGGCATGTCGCTCAGTTTGAGCCCCAGGTGATGCAGCACTATCAAACGCAGACGCCAATGCTGTCGAGGAGACTGAGCCAAGGCAGGCCAGGGGCAGTCAGCGGGATGGCGATCAAGCGACCAACGTCGGACCATACGACCACCGGAATTCCGGTGATGTGACCATGGATGGGCTTCCGCTTAGAGCGTGGCCGGCTACAGTACGTCGTTCCGATTACGTTTACTCGCTAGAGAAGCCGCCAGTGAAGCTGAAGAGAAAGGAATCACGATGCGAAGAGCAGCCGTCAGCTTGATGTCGATGAAACAACCAACGTCGGATCATACGACCACCGGAATGGATCTGGCAGGATTCCTACTGCGCGCCCCGTAGCGGCTCCAAGCGTCATCAAACTCTCGTTGGTCCCAGCAGAAGATGCAATATCACCGGAGGAACCTTGTGGTGTGTCGACCGACGCTTCAGCAGCGACGGAAGGTACTGGAGACGGGGTCACAGGTGCCGTTTGTGCCGGTACCGTATTATCAGCGTCAACAGGAGCGCCGGTGGGAAATGAAAGATCTTGCGGCCCTAGCCAGTGTTGCAAAGTGCCGGTGACTACATTGACAGCACCCTGGGATGCCGGAGAACAAGCTGGCGTCATTAACGAGGATCCAACTGATGGCGAAGAGCAGCAAGAACGTCGAGCGTATCGGACCAGAACACTGAAGGTCCAGGAGAGCGGCGGTCCCAGCGGTCAGGCGCAAGCGCGATGAATGAACCATGGAGTTTACGGACCGGAGGCGCCTAGACGCTCACCTGTTGTGGAGGCTCGTGTCCAAGCGGGGGCAGTTGTGGTATCGGATATGGAGATTATCGGAGCGATTGCCCGTCGCCCAAGAATCAAGGTACAATCAAGGAGCAGCCAAGTGCGAGATGGAAGTGGCTGCTTTGGTTAAGCTGACGACATTATCCTCGTTGGAGTGGCAGATAGTGGCAGAAGCCTCGTCGGGTCCTAATACAACCCCGACCGAGGCTTCATGGTGCCTACTTTTAGGTACACATGCATTTAGTTACGTACTTCGGCCGCACTTATTAGTGTAGCCGCGGTCGTCATTTGATGTGTCCGGAATCGCCTTATTGCGATCGTTCACACTAGATATTTGTATAGGGACATAGGACTCATCATAGGATGGCCAGAACGAGGCCCCCAGGGCCTCAGAAAACTCAGAAAACTCAGTAATAAAAAGACAGTCTTCCCCCAAAGCCAACGAGGGTCAAGTCCGACTTCGGTAAGTGTAGCTAGCTTATTGTAGTGCCTGGACACGCTCGGCCGCGTGTGGATGCCTGTCGGGGAGCTTATCGCGCATTGACCGAGAGTTTCCTTGGTAGCGCCAAGAGTTGGCGTGGCCGGAGAGGCAGGAACATTATTAGGGTATCGTTCAGTATATATTTGTGGGACTAGAGTATCCCTGAGTGTATTAGTCTACCTACCGAGGTTTTACCTTGGTCCCCCTGTATAAGGCCTAACACACCGGTACCCTTCCTTTCTGAGGGACTGCAGTGGGGTTGCGCGAAAGCGCTACATAGTATCCTAGCCTTAGCTCGTGGCTAGTGGTACAGGTTTTTGGGCTGACCGAAGATAACCTAAGGTACACAGAGGCGCTTGCAACCGACCCGGTGTAAGGGATCGTTCCTGGTCTTCAGTTTTTGATCCAATAAGCGCTTACCTTTGCGGGTTAGCGTGTTGTTGGTGTCTCTAATACCTTTTGGTAGAGGAGGATTTTAGTGGAACTACCACACCACAGGAGTATCGTGCTGGAGCCCAGCAACGTGAGCAGAAAAAAGAAAAGCTGCAAGAAGAAATAAATCGGGCACGCAAGGATCTGGTGCAAGAGGAAGCTGACGTAGAAGTAGCAAGACTGCGGGACGAATTCACTGAAGAGCCTTTTACACTGAAGCCACCCACGCGCACTGACATTGTACGATGGGTGTCGAAGTGCTGGTCGGATCTCAGTCGGGAGACAATAATCAGCGGTTTTGCCAAAGTTGGTATTCTCAACGATACACGCGTGGTTGCTTGTGCTCCTGCAGTGGAACACATTGAAAACACCATTGTCGAAGACTTAGAAAGATGCAACTTAGCCGGCGGACAAGTTGATTCGGACGATGACATCGGTTCAGGCGACGACATCGACAGCGAAGGCAGCGACAACGAATAATTAGCGATGCAAGCTAATTTGAAATGCATGCTTTGATAAATCTTTGATGTGCAGTCAGCTGGTGACGCTTGTGATTTGCAATAAGTGCTTGTGCAGTGACGCCTAGGACTAAGATGATACGGTAATACATGTGAATTATTCTGAAGTCTCATATAATACAAATTAGATACAGAATCTTGTTGTGTATTTTTTTCTATGCGAACACAAGTTGTGTTCGCGTAGGTAGGCATTACGCGACTCGTAACACAGCGAAACACGCCGACTTTCAGGTGGCACATCCGTGTTGCGCGGGGGATGCCCGTAGCAGCTGCTAGGCAACGCAGTGTTTGCTGTTCGTCATAGGGGCTCGCGGCTTGCGCGCAGTCACTAGCGCCGCGGGGTCGGTGCGCTGGCTCCAGATCTCAGAGACCTTCCGTCTCGAGATCTTGAATAGCTTCGCCGCATCTTAAATGCCCCCCCCCCTGTGTGCTCTCCCCTCTCTCAATTTGGTTCGCGGGCACGTCCTGGCGCATTGTTCGGGAATTGTTGGCTGGAATTTAGCAATGTCACAGAAGGATTTGGCCAATATTCGATGGTGACGGAAATTCATATTTTAAACCAATTAAAATATGGTGTGTACAATATATATACATAAAACCTTATGCGCATATTATCGTGGACCAGAGAAGTAAGCTTTTTGAGCACCCGATCAACGCATACCCTTCATATGTGTTAAGTATGATGGTCATTTTAGCAAGGATGCCTCGATCGGAAGACTGTACAGCACGGATTCTAAACCAGCAAGTTGCGACCGGGAGTTTGTTGTTGTCCTAATAAGTAACTAACACGGGGACGGCGTACATGCATTCGCTTAAGCGAAAGCCTCCATCCACTCACGACCCGCAGCATCACATTTCTTGTACAGATCTTGTAACCTCTATGAACCAAAAGAGTGGTACTGTTCAAAACGTTTAGTGGTATTGTGACTGCATCCCTGAGTTGGTGCTTAGAGCATCTTGTCCGTGCGCGCAAGCATGCTGGCAGGCGCTGGTACTTCATTGGACTGGTCAAACCTGGCAGCGGCGTGAGTTACGCCAATTTCTGTGGAACTGTATGTCGAGATCGCCACCAAAACTGTCATCAGCAGTACGAGCGCGATTGCGTTCAGCTTTTGCTGATGAAGTTGCAGCATACGAGGTGGAATGGAACAGGATATGGTGGATACTAAGTTCCATTTGTATCACAGTCCTATGGAAACAACGCAACCGAGTCGCGCACCAAGGGGAACAAGTGACACAGCACGGCAGTCAACAAGAGTTCTTGAAAATCGGGCTGCAACAGTTACGGGCGTTGGCTTTACGCGAAAGAAGACGCTCCCAAACCAAAATCCAAGGCACGCGCCTGCTCCTATGTTTAGGAATCTTGGCGCGACAGCCACTAGAGGCACCACCGCAAGGGGTGAGTCAAGTACAGCCACCGGATCGCTCGACGACACCGGCGTTAATATCCTGGCTTAGGAAATTCCAGACATCTTGTACACAGTAATGTTTTAACATTATTTAAAATTGACCAGTCTGATCCTCTCTCTGCTTAGAGCATCTCCAGCGGGCGGTGCACTGTAAACGGTACAGTAACGGCAAAGGGGTCTTTTCAGTGAAATATACGGTCCCGCTACGGCGATTTAGCGTAACGCTATTTTATCCTCCCATCGGCTCACGGTAAAGCGCCAGCCACGGTAAACGCCATTGTGGCTGCACTCAGCACTATCAGGCCGCAGAGACCGCGCAGCTACGCTGCGATCACTATGGAGGAGGTGAACACACGAGGTCACATCCTCGCTAATGTCCTGGGCGCCGCCACGACACCCGCAAGGCGGTCTCGCAGGCCGCTGCCCCATTCGATAAAATTGGGCGTCGCGACCGTGTACGAGCCAATCGTAGGGGGCCGCTGATATAGCGGCCTTGCCGTGATTTGGCGAGAGACCGCCAAATTTTGCCGTTTTAAATTAGCGTTACTGGGAGATAAATGGTTTATCGCTAATGCCCTGGGGCCTTCGGCACCGTTAGTTACCGTTCGCCACCGCTTGCCACCGTTTACGTTTCGGCAAAACGTTCGTTTCCCCGCTCAAATCCTGAAATAGAGCAGTGAGCATCAATACAATAATCAAGTAAGAAGACAGGTGGTTCGAGGGGATGCAAACAGCAATGACAAGAACAAGCATCGGCTGACAGGAGGATTGCTGGGGCTAACAGTGTACTAGTATTACATTAAACAGTTGCATTGAAGAAGGAGTGAATACTGACCGTGCTAGTTGTTGTCTGCAATCGCTCGCAGTAGCCCCTTTGCGATGGATCTCCGCAGCGTTTTCTTCTCTTTCGACAGCTTCCGCATGCTGTGGCAGTGCTTGTAGGCGGCGGAACTACTCGTGCGTAAGCAGGTAACGCTGGGGCAGCAGGTATACTCGCTTGCTCGTGAAATTGCGCTCTTCGACTTTCGCTTTTTGGGCTCCTTTAGTCGCTGCCGCAGCGAGTCTGGGTTCATATCGCTGTCTGGATACCTCTCTTGGAAAAGGACAAACATCTCAACCCACTTGTTGGGAGCTCTCGGTCGTGCTGCAGCTACTGCTCGAAAGTATTCCAAATCTGATGACGATATTCTAGTGTACTTACGCTTCTTGCTTTTGGCAGCAGGACGAACAGCATGTCCGCCTTCACAACGAGAACCGTGTGCAGCTTCAGCATGAAGGCCACTACCTTGGTCGACTGGCGCTTGTGTGAGATGCCACTCACCAAAGCATTGCTAGTTGTCGCCAGATCTGGTGTTGCTCCCACCCCCACCGCAATGTCAGCTGTGCTTAAAAGCCTAGAGACTGCTGTGCTGGTTGCAGCGATATCACGCGACGGCGTTGCTGGTAGGATAGCATCTGCGGCGTCACTGCACTCAGTAAATTCGCTCCGGGCAAAGCCTTCTGCGCGTGGGGGCTTAATTTTTGGTTCGCGACCATTGTTGGCCGCTGATTTGAGGGCAGCCCATTTGCGTTTGAGAGCAGATTCGTACTTGGGAAAAATACTCTCACAAAGTCGACTTGCAAAATCATAAACACGGACAAACACTTGCGTTCTGCGCTTGATGGTCTTTGTAGCTCGCAATACACCAAACAAATCTATCATCAGCTTCTGCTCGTCAGTATTTTCCTTGCTGGTAGTCTTACGATTTAGATCAAACGAGAACAGCGGAGGTCTGCTTCCGAAGGATTTTTTAGTGCAGCTATCCACCTTCGGGTCCGACATTTGCTTTAACTTCCCCTCGATCGTTGAGTAGGATCTCCGGCGCAAACGAAAAGCCACATTTGTGTTAAACTCTACCACCATGTTGAAAAGTATCGTCGTGACACGGACACACGATTTCCACACAGCCCCTTCTCGATCCTGCTCAAACCGGACTTGACGCAGCAGCTCGTACTCTTCTAGCGAAAAATCAGAGGATGGCTCGTACGAAGTCTCAGTCAGCTGCATCGACTCAAAGAACGCCTTCGTGCGAAGGGGGGGGGTTGACTGGGCAACTTTTGCGCAGTTGAAAAATAGTTCCTTTATTGTTTTCTTGTGGTGTCGAGAAGCGGTAAGTGCTGCATCAATGCCAGCATTGCTAACACGCGCGTTTTCAAAACTTCGTCTCCATTGGTCGAGATCAAAGTCTCTGCGTGAGGCTGAGCGGTATTGCGGAGAAATCTGGGGTTGGGACAGCATCGTTAGCGCAAACTCCATTTGTGCCGACTCTGGCAACGCGCCTCGGCTTAGCAATGCAGCTTGAGCTAGTTGTATGAAGTCCAGTTCCCCTAAATTTGCATTACGACCAAACTTTGTCCCAACGCGGAGATTGTGGCGAACAATAAAAATGTCAAGAATTCGCAAACCAACGGGAGCTGACACAGTGCGGATGAGTAGTTTTTTCAAGGCGGAGTGAAATCCTTCGAGTTGACTGATGGATACGACTCTCCCGTCTTAGCAGCCTCCTCGTACGTGTTATTAGAGACAAAGATATCTCCGCGACGAATCGGCTTCGCGTTACTTTCATAACAGCCGCGCCACTCTGCATCCGAGCAGTTCACGTCCGCCAATGCAACACTTCTCACAGCACGTAAAAATCCTTTCTCCATTTCGTCAACGGGTCGCAGCTTGCGATCTACTGTGTACAGCGCATTACTTAGCTCCTTAGATAACCACTTTCGCTTAGTTGACTTAACCATATCGGTTATGCGCTGTATTACATGGAACGGGTCTTGCTTGGTCGAGACACGATCACCGAACACTCTGCTAACCAGATTGCGAACTCCAGTGGCATCATCACTTACTACCAAAAGCTCAGCATCGTCAGTAAACGGTGCAGGCATGGGCTCCACACGGTTTAGTAGCTCCTCAGTTTCTCTGAGCGTGTAAGGCAACGACCAACAATCTGCCCAATTTCATTTTGAGCGAGAAGAAGCATCTTACAGTTTGCCATACCATCACGTTTCCCACTGCCTGTCCAAATCTCAAGACGCTTACAAAATTTCACGGAGTGATCAATGCGGAGCGCTCTTCGAATCTTCAAGTGCTTCATGAGATTTTCACACAGAGAACTGTAAATCGTTGTAAATTCCATCCAAAACGCTGTCAGCGTTTGGGTAGTTGGTGGAGCGTTGTCGGAGGCATACTGAGAGCTAGTCGACGTGGTCGGAGATACATAGTCAGCATTAGCGTTCCGGAGTCGCCGAACTCTATCCGCAAAAAGAGTGTAGAGCTTGTAATACCGGCTTTGGCGCCGGCGCTCCACAGTAGCCAATGCACTCGACAGCCCATTCGGCGACATAATCCCATCATGAACCATTTCCATAAACTCGTTAGAAAGCCCTCCTTTCACCGACAAAACAAAAGGTAAGTGAACCAGAAACTCCACGTCCTTCTGCAAATATGCTGGTGATATTGTAGTAAAACAAGTTCCTGATAATGGTGTAACCCCCGGTGACGGCGCTGTACCCTTCGATGGCTGTGGAGATGAACACAGCGATGAAGACAGCTACGATAGCGCTGGATCAGATGAAAGCGATAGCAGTAGCGAGAGTATGGATTGTAACGAGTCCGAAGAGAGCGAGTATGAGGTGCAACACGTGCATTCGTACCGCACGTAAAGCAAGTCGCACTTCGCGTCAACAAGATCGACTGTACCGTGAACGTACTCCTTTACACGTGGCGAGCAGTAACAGCCAAGAGAAGCACACTCAGCGTTGCCCCCATTCAAACACTCAGGGACCCACACAACAATCGGCCGGGAAAACAACTTTGTGAGAGGGGCCATGTCGTCTTTCCAGCTCGTTAGCTCCGGGTACAGTACACTTGGCGGGAAAGCACGCTGCGACTTCGCTTCTTGCACTCGCCGTCTGCACTCTTCAGCGTCCATTGCGAGCTCGAACGTTGTGCGGGCTTACTGTTCACTCCCCACTCTATTCACTTCAGCGACTTTTGGCTAACTTAAGATATTTTAGTCGGGCGGAGTCGGAGATCGGAGCTGCAACCAATCGGATCGGAGCCGCCGGGGCCTAGCGGCCCCGGCATCTCCGATAAACCGATAAAATACCACGCTATCCCGCCAAATCGGGTGCCGTTATCCGTGGGGAGCGTATGAAGAGCCGCTTTACAATTACTGTATCTTGAAAATTGTATGCAGACCTGATTTCGACGCTACGCTCGTAGCGAGCCACTCCCACTATAACTCACGTTTTGTATGTGGTGACACATCATGTATCGAGGCATTCGTTATGTGTCACACATCACTCGTCGCTTGGCTCAGATCAGGCGGGCCAATTTGGGCCATGAGAGAGAGCCCATAGCTCCGCTTCTAGTGAAGAAAATTGAAATCTGAAAGTGGGGGCGAAGAGGCCGTGATCTAAGCTCACGGCGTACGTGAGCTTAGCGCCGGTTCCGATGTGAAACGCACTGAAAAATGCGCGCACAAATACCTCCTTCGGGGAGGACATCTTGGTTTTTGTATTGAACGGGTGGCTCGCTTTATGCGGTGGCTCGTTTTATGCTCCCCACGGATACCGTTTACAGTGCACCGCTGGAGAAGCTCTTTTAAGAGAACTGGGCGTCCCTTCATGAATGCACATGACAGGTCGGAAACCTGTGATTTCGGCGAATTTAACTCTTCAATAAGAGGGACATCGCCGTTGAGACCGACATGGATAGAAAGCCCTGCATCTAGATTGGGTAATGCCGCTGTATGAAGCGCTAAATGTATGTAGATCTCGAGCGATTTATCCTCAAAGTTGGCGTTGCCTGGCGCCTCTGCTATGTTTCTTACCGTTATTTATGCAGCATATAAAAAGCCATATGTATTTGTGTGACCTTTCAGGTAGGGGTGAAAGATCGCGCATTACTAGCGACAAGATGACTGACAAATAGTGAGGGGGAATGCACACCATGTCCTCGTTGCCGAACGGGACAAGAAAAGGAAAAGCCACTTTGGCATTACTCCTTTGATGGACATATTAGTAGATATGCAAACTT